TGCTATCGACATAGCAGATGATGCAGGGAGGATGGAAAGCGAGGTTGCCGTGCACGGTGTCGGTGGCACCGCATTCACGCGAGACAAATATTTCATTGACTGCCTGGTCATGTGCGTTCGGGGGGCCGTGCGAGCAGCACGGAAGACATTCGGTGTGCCAGATGAGCCGGGGAACTTGGATGATGCCGAGACAGGACATCTCATCTACACGGCAATGGAGATGAAGTTGCTCAGGGGCAGTATCAAATCTGCACTGGCCTTTGTGATGGATGGAGAGATCAAGTTGCACAACAAGGTTTACAAGAAGTGGTCAGCTTTGCGACCAGTGCTTCAAGCATGGGTGCTGAAGTGTTATGAGACGGTGGTTTGCATGCATTGGTCAAGAGTTTTGAGTTTTAAGTATGTTCATGTACGTGCATGTGATTGAGTGCTTGCTTGAGTGGGCATGCGGTTGCACGGGTGCTGCGTGTGTTGTGTTAGGATCTTCATGCTGTGCAAACCCTGACGACAAGCTCTGGTGTTGAGAACGACAACGACAGGGTTGAGAACCTTGCAAAGATTCTGCCTGCTCTCAACAGATCTCACTCTGATGCTGAGCTTCCTGCCATTGTCAAGGCATGCAAATCGAAGGCTCTGGATGCACTCATTCCGGACTTGTTCAGATGGTTGGAGGCAGAGAGAGTTGCCACCAAGCAGATCAATCCACTCGAGGCGAAACCGTCCTCGCACATGACCATGGCCAAGATTCTCGAGCAGTGGGAAGACTTGTGCAGCTGTGGTGAAAAGAGGACATATCGGACGTGACATAACCTTGGGTTGATGTGCTTGTGTAACTATTCTGTTGGGCTGCTTGCCAAAAAAAGTGATGGTCAGGACCAACGTCGAAACATGCCCGGTTCATCAACACGCCGCAGATGTCATGGATGTCACCTTTCACATCGTTCAAGTAACCTGCACAATCATGCCTCCTGCGGTCGTCGCGGCAGGGAAGATCATCATGAGTTTGGTTGCCAACACGTGGGGAGGGGAGCTGCCTGCTGCATTGCTGGATCATCCGGATCAGGAGTTTGTGAGGGCAATCTTCACAACCAAAGGTATCTCTGCTCTTGCCGAGCTTCGGAAGGATTACATAGTGACAGCTTGCGTTCATGCACTGGGTGACCGAGTGAAGTGCAGGCCAGAGCAGCTCCAGGAATGGGTGAAGAGTCACAATGCTGTGTTGCTTGAGTTGGATAATATGTGCGAAGTTGGTGACTTGGAAGCTTTGAGCAGCGGTTATGGCACAGCCTTTGTGGAGTTGCTGAAGAAGGGCAAGGTGACGATCGCTGAGCTTTCCGAGGACAAGGATAGCACTTCCGAGAAGGAGAAAGA